ATCAATGAGAAAAAAACTTTAAACAAATACAGTTTTTAAAGGAGCAGTGATTTTAACATCACTTAAAGGGTAACAATAAAAATGAAAAATTCCTTTTAAATATTGAGCCTGGGAGGTCCCCTTTTTTTAAGCGTGCAGTTCTCCCCCAAACAATACCAGACCCTTTAGGTCTGATAGAAATGTTTAGGAGGCACCCCATGTAAAAAAAACAAAAACAAAATCTGTGGGGTTTCCCTCAAAGTCATACCAGGACTGGTAGGAATTTTAAGGAGGAACCCCATCCCCCATTAAAACATGGGGTCCCCTTAAAATTCCATACCAGACACTTGATCCGAGCAAAGGCCTGGCAGGGCCCAGAAAGGGGGGGGGTGAGCTAGCGGCCCCCTCCCTCCCAACCTGGGAGGATACTTTTCCAGGGCCGCCCCTGGAAAAGCACCTTGTCCTCGTGCTGATGGGGACAAGGGCCTCTTCCCAACAAGCCCTGGGACGTTGGTTGAGTCAAACTCACGTTCGGCTCAAACATTGAGCCCAACCCTAGTTGTCAAGGGGTGGAATCCTTTGAAGATTGCAGCAGCTGATGATGTTGGGAAGAGGTAACAGGTCTACTATAGTGCTGGATCCACCAGTCGTGACTCTCACTCTATCAAGTAGTCCAAATGAGGGACAGAGATAGCAGCCGTAGTTATGTATAAAAGAGGTTTCTAAAGGCATTTTATGTTCACAGTGGATAAATGAGAGGGGGAAAGACATTTGCCTTGCTATGGGCTTTACATACAATTTTCAAATGTAATAATGTATATTGTTTCTATTGTGGATTTCAGAACCTCCAATTTCCTCTTTTTTGTGTGGTGCTGATTGTGCTAGAGTGTCTACTACCTTGCCATGATCAATGGCCTGAGTACTGCCTGTGCACTATTTACAACAGTTTCCTTCCTGGTCTATGGTTTGAACTCCATAATGCCCAACTCCAGTCAAAATGTAATTGGTCTTGTACAGAATGAAGAAAGAATAGAGCCACTGTGAAGTTTTTATTTTTGTTCTGTCCCTGTTTAGCAGATTTCCCTTCCAAGTAAAATTGGGAAGCTCAATGACCACATGGTCAATTTCAGCTAGTAGTGGGTATATGTGCTTTTTAAACTGATGTTTTGCATATTTTTTACTGAGTGCAAAAGCCAGGGATAAGGTAGTAGGCATGATTGTCACTTGAAATATAAGTCCTGACATTTTGTTAGGCACCCTGCTAATGCTATACAACTAATGCACAAGGTTAGATGGATCAAAAGAGTATGTGTATTGGCTGTTTGGCTGGAATTGACATTTGAAGAGGACCAGTAGTCAAATTTCCCCCCCCCCCCATATTTTTGTTCATCCAGCTTCCTTAAAGTCAAGAAAACAAACAGAAGCATTGAATGCTTACTTTGTTTCAGGAGGAAATAAGGGGGAGGGATCAGAATTCATGATGGCAGTTTCCCTAACTTTAGCAAAGATCACTTAACCAAATGCCTAGGTACTTATTAACCTGACTAGTTGGTGTGTGATATCTGCAAATATAGGTATTTTAGGGCTTCTGTTACATTTGTATTACCTTTTATAGGTAGAAGAGGTCCAAGGCGAGTCCTTGTCAGGTTTTTGTTGCTGTCCATCTCACTGTTTAGGAGATTTATCCCCCTATTTGTCCTGACATTTTAGAGTTGTCACTGGAGAAAGAGGAGAGGGACAATCCTCCATTTGAGACACCTGTTCCTATGACAACTCCCAAGATGGGTGTTCCATTCATTTTGAATTGATTTCCTCTCATTTCCTGTTGCTTCTCCTGGATAGGAAGTAAAGGGAAATCTCCCCAGCTAGACAGCAAAATATAACCCGATAGCATTTTTAACCATTTATTACTAAGCTTTAAAAAAAGCTTTGGCTTAACATACACTGTAGATAAATGTGTACTGAGTATAAAGTTACTTTATGTAGATCACATAGAAACAGAACTGCCTGGCAAGGTGTGAGGAAAACAGCATTGCCTTTTTTTCAGGATTATTAAATTATGTTAGTGTTGCATTTGAAATTATGAAAACAAAACTTTCTTCTGACAAAAACTTCCTTGCTTTACCACTGTAAATAGTCATTGTTTCCTGTCAATTATGTTTTTTACACCTACTTTTTTTTTTTTCTCCATGTATTTTTAGTTTACAGTATATTAAATTTACAGTAAGGTATGGCAGATTTGCAGTAAATGTACAGTATAGAAAATGTGTGCTTCTTTTTTGCCATTGAATTCTTTTTCTTGTATTATTGTTATTACTATTATTATTATTATCATTATTATCACATAGTTACATAGTTACATAGGATGTATATAGCACCAACAGTTTGCTTAGGGGTTTACAAAATAAAGGGAGACAGCACAGTTACAACACACTGCAAGTCAAGAAGAATTGTACTGAGAAACATGAGCAGATCTCTTTATTTTTATCTCTGGATGTATTAACCTGTGAATTAAGTTGTAATATATAGCTGTGTATTTTTTTTAATCAGTGATATACAATATACACAAGTGCTTCCAGTGTGACATTTCCAAATCATGAAAGTACCAGCTCTTCACTAGGTTTGATGAGAGTGAAGACCTATCTTAAATTGGTCTCAGGAGGATTTGGCTTGCCCAGTGCATTATTGTATCCTCTTTATTATCTCCTGACCTCTTTGATCTCCTACAAAAAACAAATTTTTTAAGACCCACTTTGTCGCTTGTATAGACCCTTGGTATCGGTTATGTGCTGCCACCCTTCCTTGCAGAGGAGTGTTTTATTTAGTAATTAACAGTGTATAGGGAAGAGGAGCTGTCATGTTGGTTCTTAAGCTGGAGGATGTGATGAAAGATGATATCAGCGATCCCATCCTTTTCACTTGTTTAGGATTGTCAGGATGAGAAATGTCAGCATTATGAAAGCACAGCTCTGCTCTTGATATGATAAAACCTTTCAAAACCCAGCTCCTACCTATCCTCGTTCTCCTCCTTTCAGCTTCCCTCCCCCCTTTTTATTTTCCCTTTCTCTCTCTCCACTAGTTTTTTTTATTTATCTGTTTTATTAGATGGCAGAAATATAATTCTTTTCTTTCTTCCTATTATAAGCCACCATTTTTGTTTTATTATATGTTTCACAACCCCTAATGCTCCACTGAAAATTACCTTGTTAAATGACAGTGTTTCAAAGCCATGAATCCTTTCCACCATCCCCTCTGAGGTTTGAAACAGTCAACAGACTGTAAAGAATAAATAATAAAAAAGTATTGATTATTTTGATGACTGTGAGATTCAATTAAGTATTAATTTTGCCCTCCAGTGGACCTATCAAGGTATTCAAACGGTAGGATTCGACTCAGCTAAATGCATGCTGAGTGCTCTAGCCTTAAATAGGGAGAAATGTGTTTACCTACAGTATTTCAAGAGGAGTGCACTGATGCACAGAGTCCAATATTTAAGTGCTGTGCAAATTAAGCCTCGGTGACAGTGACATTGTTTGCAGCAATATGAGTATTGACTAAAGAAGTGCATTTGATGACAGCTTAAACTATTTGTATTGATTAACATTTTCATAGATTATCATGTGTCATATCAAATTCAGTTTTCAGACGTGAATACATTAGAGAACCCACAGGCATACATCGACCAATGTGATGATGGGGCATTAGGAGCTTCCTAGCCCACCTCCTAGCACGCTGGTCACCTGTTCTCTGCATAAAAGTCATTTAGGCATGAACTTAGCAATAAATAGCTGCCAGATAACACTACAGGGTCATCTGTACTATTGCCTCTATTTGGCTGTTGTTTTTAGCAGTGTTATTTTTCACTATTTTACATAGCTCTCAATGCAGCATACTCACAGTATGGTGCTACGCAGGGCATAAAAAAAAACTTAAAAGCTGTTTTGTGGAAAAGCCTGTGACCTCACGATGGCCTTTGACTGAGATGAGAAGAGTAGATCCGATCGCCAGGAAATACACTTATCATTCCTTCCTTTTGGGGCCTTAATGCCACAGCAATAAGAACAATTGCACTCATTTTGTAAGTATTTTTTAAATAAATAGAATATTTGAATATCAATTTTGTCATTTTAATTTCATGTAAGTTAATATTAATAAATGTTTTTTTCTTTCTTTATTTTATTCTTAAAATAATTTATCAGCCAACTACGCTGTGCACCTTTTTTCTGTAAGTAAGAGGATAGTGTATTATTGGCAAAATTGGAGATTTTTTTATTGTTGTGATATAAAAATGGCTAGTATGATCTTGCACGTGAACTTTCAAAACTGGGAATATTTTTTCACTGGCTTTTTGTTTGTATGATTGTTGATTTTTTTAGTCGATGTATTACTGCCTCACTACTAATTGATAAAAAGAATATTAATTTGTGCTATTTAATAGCTGGCTGCTCAGGAAGAAAATGTCATGTTTCTAGGTTTTGACATCAGTTCGCAGAATGTCTCTACTTAAAATGCTTGTGTGTTGTTAAGGTGCAAACACAGTCATTCTAAACTCTGTGTGCTGCACAATACTCAGATGACCCTTTCAATGGGAAGCTGACCCTTTCAGTAGGCTGCTGTCCATTTCAATAGTCTGCACTGGTTTCAATACGCTGCTGTCCCTTTCAGCACTAAGCAGGACTTGGATAAAAGGAAATAAACTTTAAAATGATTCTTATCTGTCATGAACCTCCTAGAGACATTCATTCTATTGTTAAACATATTTAAATATGGATTTATTGTGACAGAGATCATCTGATATTTATTAGGTATATGTTGTAACATAGATGCTGATGTGTTATTTACAAACAGTGATACTTATTACAACTTATAGTAATTAGGTAGTGTTTTGCATAATTTAGAGGCAGTGCATTTTGGGGGGGATTTAGAGTGAATGACAGCCAGGGGGGCAGGTACTTGTATAATCGTTGATC